ATCAGTAATTTGATGAAAGTTTATTCATCTAAATGATTTTTGTTAACTGATAGAGTTAAAACAAAACGGTTCCAATAGCATAGACTGGGGACAAAAAAATAAGACCAATGTATTTTCTTTTGCTGACTATTCTTACGATCAAGCTAATTTCAGATACTTCCTAAGGTGCAGGATTCTTATAAGCAGCAAGATCTTCATTTCTTTTACCCCTTTCCTGAGCAAAGGAGGCTATGACATTCATTTGTTTGTTCAGCAAACATTTACAGAGCATCTTCTGTGCTAGGCACTTTGCCAGGTTGGAAGTTCAATGTTGAGGAAAAAAAAAAAAAGGCCAGTTTTGGTCAAAATATGGCTGCAGACAATTTGTGGATTTAGGAATGTTGTCACTGAATTCACCATGACCAATCTTTTCTTATTTCTTCCTCTAAATCCACACAACTCTCAGGGTAGGCTGACAAATTCAAGAGTGGCCATGTGGAGTGTGCACCATGGTTTCAAAGGTGGAAAAAGAGAGCTTGGAGGTCATTTATTATTTTGTCTCAGTTGCAGGTTTGTTCTCTGCTGCTGTGGAGTGTAAGTTATGTATTGGGCTGTTTGAATCCACTGGAAACTCTACTAGAGAAAAATGGGCAATGTGTTCCCATTAAGCATTGAAATCCCATGGTGAGTCACTGTAAATTGAAGTTGAGCTACTGTAAGTTGGAATTGATAAGGATTTACTTTTGGGGGGCTGTTCTTGTGCCCTTTTATTCTATTTTGAAAATTCAGGAGTTGCTTTGAATTGTGAGGAAAAGGAGCATATGGCTGCAACACATCGACCTGGAAAAGGCTGGCCATTCACACCCACTTTTTCTATTGTAATTGGATTTAGAAAGCAGGTGGCCGGCACTTAATCACAGAAGGAAAGTCTTTTGCAGCAATGACAGAATTTCTTTCACATAAACTCTGAAATTCTAGATGAAAATAAACCCTTGAGGGAAAATTATATTTTATGCTAAATCTGTATAAGGAGCTCTGGTAGCCTAGTGGTAAGAAGATGTGCTGCAATCCTGAAGGCATGTGGTTCACAATCTACCAGCTGTTTCTCAGGAAAGGAATGGGCAATCTCCTTCCGTGCAAAAACAGCCTCTGATTAAAACTCAACATCAAGAAAACAAAGATTCTCACCACTGGGCCTATTAGCAGCATCATGATAGATGGTGAAGAGATTGAGATTGTTAGTAGCTTCACTTTGCCTGGCTCTACAATCAACACTCTTGGTACCAGCAGACAGGAAATTAAAAGATGAATTGCATTGGGAAAGTTGGCTGTCAGAAACCTATCCAAAGTACTGAAGAGCAACGATGTTGGTCTGGAGACTAAGGTGTGCCTGATCCATGCATGGTCTTTGTAATTACTTCATATGCATCAGAGAGCTGGGCAATGACTAGGGTATGATAGAAGGAGAATTGATGCCTTTGAGCTGTGGTGCTGGAGAAGAGTACTGAGTATACCATGGACTGCTAGGAGAACAAATAAGAGGATGAAGCCAGTCTGCTCCTTGGAGGCAAGGATTCTGAAGCTCTCTCTGTCTGACATGCTTTGGCTATGTAGCAAGGTGTGATCAGTCCTTGGAGAGGGACGTCATGCTTGGGAGAGTGTAGGGACAGCTCAGGAGAGGAAGACCCTCAGTGAAACGGATTGATTCTGTCACTGGGGTAATGGGAATTAGGTGTCTCAGAGACAATAAGATTGGCATGGGATAAAGCAGGGTTTAGGGCTGTTGTACATATGGTCACTATGAGTTTCAGGTGACTCGGCAGTACATAACAACAACAATATCCCATCGGAGGGTCAGCTATGGGTTGGTTCCAACGCAATGGTACCCAACAACAACAAAGTCTTTTTATTTCCCCTCTCCCCCTAAAATCTGTTTAATTCCTATCATCCTTCTATAACAACCACAACAAAGTCTACGTCCCTCTAAACCTACTGCTCTTCATTACGGCCTGGAGTTTTTATCTAGAAGCTTAGGATCCTGTAGACCAAGCTTTCAGACTGTATGCTCTAACTTCTGAGCTATTTAGTAAGATTTTACAGAATGGAAAAAAGAAAATTGTTCCTAAAAAGACAACTGTCTGATCGAAATGAACCAGAGAGCTCTAGCTTTTACATCTCTTCATCGGTATAGATACAGTTTCATAGTTCAGCTTGTCTATATCAATGCAAAGGCACAATTTCATCAACAGTGAACAGCCCTGTTTTACAGTTCTCATATGCTTTTTTTTTGGTTGTTTTTTTGTTTTAAGAAGCAACAGGCCAAATACAATGATATATATTACCTGTTTATGAGCTGGGAGGCTTTATGGCTTATCTTAAATACAAAATCGGTTGCTATGAGCAAAACTAATTATGGTGGCCTTGTGTGTATGGGAATAGAACTGGACACCATAGCACTTCCAGTGACTGACTTTTTTTTCAGATGAAGGTCACTAGACTTTTCTTTCAAAACACCCTTGGGTAAATTCATACGGCCCAGAACCTAAACCGTTTGTAGCACCTCAAAACTCTCATCTTCATCATGTTGTCATTAGATACAGTCAAGTTAATTCTAATGTGACAGAATAGAAATGCATCAGAGGATTTTCTAGGTGGCCTAGTAGTAAGAAGCTGAGCTGCAATCTGAAAGGTTTGAACCCACCATCTGCTCCTCAGGCTTCCTCCTGTGTGATTTGCTGCCTCTGAAAACCCACAGATGGTCAGCAGTGAGTTGATTCTAACTTGACAACACACAATGTCATCAGTCTTTAGAGAGGAGTTATGGTAGCACAGTGGTTAAACTTTTAGCTTCTAACTGACTGGTTGGAGGTTCGAATCCACCAGCTGATGTGGTGGTCTGCGTCTGTAGTTTCCTGATAGAGACAAAACCAGCTTTCTTTTTGTCTTCAGCCAGATAAACAATGTCTGGAGGACTAAACTTTTTCTGTCAAATTTGGATAAGCCATCAAGTTTTGAACTCCTTATGTGGTGAAGACGCTGTGAAAATATTGCTTTCTAAATTGTTGTTGATTGCTGTTGAGTCAAGCACGACTCATAGCAACCCTATCAACAAAAGGCCTGAAGCTTTTCCGTAACTATCATCATTTATCACAGTTTATAAAGTTTCCAGAGGCATGTTGTTTAGGAAGTTGATGCCACTCCTGCTTTGTGTATATTGGAGTTGACCTTGGTGGTTTAATGTTTAGAAAGAAAAAGTGTAATTTTTACCAAGACAAGGTTTTTTAATTTTTATTTTAGAATTTTAATTTGTAGCTTTAATTATTTGTAAAACTTTAAACATCTTTGAGATATTAATGATGTTGTTGTTGTGTACCATCGAGTCAGAACTGACGCATAGCTGACCCTCCAGTGGGTTTTCAGAGGCAGTTAATTCCACAGGAGAAGACTGCCCATTCTTCTCTTGGAGCAACTGGTGAATTCAAACCACGTGCCTTGGGGATTGCAGCACAGCTTCTTGACACTAGGCCACCAGAACTACAAAAAACCCCTTTCCACAAAATCTACTAGAGGAAAAAACCCTAAAGATTTGAGCAGAATTAGCTGTTCTGAGGTTGTTTTAGGGGCTCTGGTAGCCTAGTGGTAAGGAGCTGTGCTGGTAATCCAAAGGCACAGCGTTTGAATCTACCAGCGGACAAGTTCCTCCTCTAAAAACCTGCTAGAAGGTCAGCAGGTTGTTTCCTACTCAAAGGTACAGAATAACAACAACAAAAACACTGCCTTAGTGGTAATGAATAGGAATGCTTTTTTTTTTTTTTTTAAAGCTGTAATCTTACAATGTTTATTTAGTAGATAGGCCTGGTTCTTGCAAAAAGCTTTTTTCCCTTACATGTATACTTATTCACTTTGTTAGTTTTTTTTTTCCTAAATTTTCTAATTCTGAAAATTTTGAAACAGGAAAATTTTGCCATAATTTATATAGTTGTTGTAAAGAGTAAGAAATTATTTAAACATTTTAGAGGTAAGTTTTAATCGACATTAATTTTTATATCTTCTGAAACTCCTGAACAGAATTGGTACATTTAAAAGTTTTAAAACAGACATGAAAGACATGGGATTTTTTAAGATTAGTATGTAAGAGTTACTGTTTATATTCTGGACATTTTACTATTTCTGTAGTCATTTTTACTGTATAATTAATAAAGGAATTGAAAGAATATTACAAATAAAACTTCAAGGTTAATTTATTTAAAGTAGATTTTTTTTAAGGAAAAGCATTTTATTTCTAAAGTAGATGTTTTATCAGAGAACTTAGTATTTGAGGTATGTGTATCCTTTTCTAAGGAGTTCAAATTAAATCAGCTACAGAATTCAGCAGGGAGAAATGAATTGGGTTAACCCTGTCTCAGTGGTACAGAGAAATAGAACAACCTCTATTACCTATCACCTCTGAGCACAAAGTCAAGGAGATTATTTGCTTATGGTTTAATTTAAGGGGGTTATTCCCTCCCTGAGCGATGGTGGCCCAGTGGTAAGAAGCTGCGCTGCAATACCAAAGGTATGCAGTTCAAATCCATCAGTTGCTCCATGGGAGAAGGATGAGCAGGCTCCTTCTATGTGATTCTCTGCCTCTGAAAACCCACTGGAGGATCAACTATGGGTCAGTTCCCACTCAAAGGCACACACATACATTCTTTCTCTACCCCCAAAGACAAAGTGATTAACTATTTGCTGCTAACCAGGAGGTTGGTGGCTCACACCCACCAGTGGCTCCTTAGGAGAAAAATGGGGCAATCTGTTTCTGTAACAATCTGTAGCACTGGAGACCCTGTGGAGCAGTCTTACTCTGTCCAAAAGGGTCACTGAGTATCTGAACCAACTCAACAGCCGTGAATTTGGCTTGGATTTCCAAGAAATATATATGTGACAGTTTGATGTTTGGTTTTTATTTTTTGTTCTTTCTGCAGGGCTCGGTTTCTGCAATTGTCATCTCTGCCAATTTATGTACGGATTTCTCCTTCACTATGAACACAACGATTGGATTGTACCTTTGTCTGGCTTTCTGTAGCCTCCTGCTTCTTAACTTTTCCACACAGTGTCTGGCCTTCCCCAGAATGGAAAGGAGGGAGATAGCACATCTGCATGGGGAAAAAAGGCAGTCTGAGAGCATGAACAAAGAAGATCTAGACAACAGCTCCCAAACTACAAAACAGATGCTCCAGCTGATGGTCTCTGAAGAGCCAGTGGTAGTGTCAGAAGGGCCCTTAGTAACGTTGTTAGCCAGCTTGTCCCCTATTAATGAAGGTGCCCGTCCTGTAGAAGCAAAGGCCACACAGCCAAGTGGACCTGCTGTTCATACTCCTACGGAGCCAATGGTCACTACAGGTGAGGCATCACGTGGCTCCAGTCAGCCTGAGAGAACATCTTCTGAAACCACACTTTCTAAAGCTGTGTTAGCTGTCACTGTCACTGCTGTGGCTTCTCTGAATACTGATGCCAAGGGCATTCTGCCCATTGAAGAAGTGGCCCCAGAAGCAACACAAAGCTTTCTGAAATATTTGGATGGTCAACTACTTGCACCTGAAAATCAGGAAGAAGTTAGTCTGGGATACTCATCTTCATCCTCTGAAAATACTACAGAAATCCTAACCCCTAATCTGAGGATTGAGGACGTTAGAGTGGCTACAGACCACAGGACAACGTTTCTTCCTGGTATGGAGCCCACTGCAGGCACTGGATCTGAAAGTCTCACTCCGGACAGATCGAGAACTCCTCAGATAACAGCTGATAAGACCCAGACTTCTGCCACCAAGCATTGGCTTGTAACTTCCGAGGATGTTCTGAGTGTTGGATCAGAAACTGACAGCCTGCCTGGAACCCCAGAAGTCACAGCCACTGTCAACACAGCTATTCCAACCACTTCTGTCTTAAGTGATGAGTGGGATGACACTAAATTAGACAGGATAAGCCAGATACGGACCCTGAATTTTGGAGATAGCACAGAGGCTCAGGAGAAACTGAAAACATCTCAAGTCACCCATGATGGTGTGGAAGGGACCGAGCCATCAACAGGGGCTGCAGATAGGGCTCCAGGGCTGCCTGAAGGGGAAACCCACACAGGCACAGCTCGTCTGATAGCACATGAGGATGAGAGATCAGCTATCCTCACTGATCAGAGTTCCCTTACTCCCACAAGTCCCATGGAAGAGGCGAGTGTTCCAGCTGTAAGCCTGTTCCAGAATACAGCAGACTTCACAGAACCCACTCCAGAAAATGATGCCATATTTTCCTCAGAGACTGTTGTTTCTACATTAGGATATGAGTTGGATACACGTCAGCCATTGGGAAACACATTTAAAGGTAAAAAAGAGAGAAATAAGAAGCTAAAACATCATTTAATATACAGTGTATGTTTATATATATATATATTTAACAACATAAGATCTGTCAGAGCTGGAAAATGACTAGGGATGAAAGAAAGAGAATAGATATTTTTGAGCTGTGGTGCTGGAGAAGAATATTAGATTTATCATGGACTATACGAGTTTGTCCTGGAGAAGGTGAAACCAGGCTGCTCCTTGGAGGCAAAGATTCTGAAGCTTCATCTGACATACTTTGTACATGTTACAAGGAGGGACAGGTCCTTGGGAGGATGGAGGGACTGTGCAGGAGAGGAAGACCCTCAATGAGATGGATCGATTCAGTCACTGGGGCAATAGGTGTAGGTGTGTCAGAGACAGTGAGATTGGCACAGGACAGAGCAGGGAATAGGGCTCTTGTACATAGGATTGCTATGAATACAGAAGTTTAAAGAAATATGTCTTTTGCTTTTGATGAAAAGCAAAAATTAACAAGTAAAAGATGTGTTTAATGTAGAAAATATACCCAAATAGACTCTTTTACATAGGTCAGTGATTCTCAGCTCAGAAAACTTTTGTTCTTTGGAGACATTTGTCAATGCCAGGAAATATTTTTCCCTTTCTTTAAAAAAATTTATTATTAATTTCAATGAAAATTTACAGAGACTTTGGATTTCCATTCATTCATTGCTGCACATTTCTCCCCTCCCAAGCCTCCCCCCTAGTATACTACCTCTTGGAAAAGTAGAAGAAATATTCTTTCATTGTTTTACAAACCCTCCCCCAGGTCCACTCCGCTATGCAGCCTTTGCTCTGGACTCCTGTCATGACAAAAATACCTAATCACATATCCCTTTTAAACAGTTTACTCCCTCATCTGTTTCAATGCAGTATACATTATTGAACCCATCTTTCTCAGTCTCCCCCCAACCCCGATGTCATTCCTGTTTTACAACAGTGGCACCATGCAGTATTTGTCCTTTTGTGACTGAGATACTTCACTCAGCATAATGTCCTCCAGGGTCACCCATTTTTAATAATATTGCATGAGTTCCTTGTTTTTCAATGCAGTGTAGTATTCCATTGAGTGAATATACCACAGGTTCTTTATCCATTCGTTTGTTAATGGGCGCTTAGGCGGTTTCCAACTCCTTGCTATTGTGAACAAAGCCGCAATAAACATGGTTTTGCGTATATCTGCTTGGATGTCAGTTATGGTCTCTTTGGGGTATATTCCCAGTAGTGGAATTGCTGGGTCAAATGGTATCTCTATTTGCAACTTTTTGAGGAAGCGCCATACTGCTTTCCACAGGGGTTGCACCATTTTACACTCCCACCAACAGTGAATCAGGGTTCCAGTTTCTCCACAACCTCGCCAGCATTTGTTGCTTGCTGTTCTGTTAAATTTTGCTATTCTGATTGGGGTGAGATGATAGCTCATAGTTGTTTTCATTTACATTTCTCTTAGAGCTAGGGATTTTGAACATTTCTTCATGTGCTTGTTAGCCTTCTGAATGTCTTCTTCGCTGAAGTGTCTGTTCATATCCTGTGCCCATTTTTCTATTGGATTATTTACCTTTATCTTGTGGTACAGGAGATATTTTTGATTTTTAAAACTGAGAGGTACTACTGGCTTCTAGTGACCCAGAGAGGCTGCTAAGCATCCTGCGATGCATGTGACCCCCTCTCCCCACCCTAGTCCCCCAACAAAGAATTATCTGGCCAAAATGCCAGTAGTACTGAGGTTGAGAAACTGTATTGTTGTTGTTATGTGCCATTGAGTTGCCTGCTACTCATAGTGACCCTATGTTCAGCAGCTCTGAAATCTATCCTGTCCTGACCCAATCTCACTGACTCTGACACACCCATGTTCATTGCCCCCATTACTGTCTCAATCCCTCTCATCTGAGGTCATCCTCTCCTGTGTTGTCCATCCACTCTTCTGAGCCTAATGTCCTTCTCCAAGTACTGATCTGGACATGTGCCCAAAGTATGTGAGACAGAGCTTCAAAGTCCTAGCCTCCAAGGAGAAACTTGGTTTCACCCTCTCCAAGACAGACTTTTGTTGTTGTCGTTGTTAAGTGCTGTCGAGTCGTAGGCGACTCATAGCGACCCTATGAATGAAAGTCCTCCACCCTTGTGTGACTTTCATCATTTCTCCAGGATCATAGAGTTTCCAGAGGCAAGCTACTTACGGAAGCTGAGGCCACTCCTGCTTCCAAGCTTGTTTTAATCAGGGAGCTCCACCCAACACCATCCACCATGGGTAACCATTATCGCATTTGACACATCAGTGACAGACGTATAAATAGCTTTTTTCCAAACTTTTTATTATTAAAATATATAAGCATACAGAAAAAGTAAGTGTATGCTTTATAGAAAATACAGACTACTCCACTGTAAAGAAGACATGCCTGATAAAGCCTGCAAAAAGTTTTACGTGTCTTACAGTATTAATATATGAATTCTCCAATTTTGTTTTCTCATAAAGGAAAAACCCAATTTGTAGATGATCTGCTTGTTCGCTTCTGCACTTTCTACTTTTACATGTATGGATGCTGCAAACTGGCAAGCCTTCTGTTTGTGGACTGTGAGATGACTCTTGTGGCTCAGATCATGGCGTGGGAAGGAAAGGCTTAGTGTCATGTACACATACTCATGCCAAATTGTTTTGGAAGAGATGCAATTTGTTGCTTAATCAAGTAGCCCAATTAATAAAAACAGCAAATTAGGAATACATTTTACAGTATTATTAAGATGAAATTAAAATTGTAAATGAAAGATATGTTTTCACATGTCCAGTTCACTTAGTAAATCTGAAAGATGTAGTTTACTGGAAGTTTTCATAGACGCTTTTAGAAAAGTTGCTTTTAAAATTAAGTGTTGGGCCCACACACCCAGGCAATTATCACATATGTCTGAGTAAGAAAGTTCTTTTGATTCTTTCTAATACCTTAAGATATTAAGTTACAGATCAGTAAATTTCATTGAACGATTAAGTCCATGATTCTTATGTGGTAAATGAAAAAAGCAACTCCCCTCAATTGTTGTCGAGTTGGTTCTTACCCATGGCAATCTCAGTTCAGAGTAGATCTACACCTCGTAGGATTTTCAATGGGATGCTTTGGAAACGGATTTCCAGACCTTTTTTCCTGAGGTGCCTCTGGGTAGATTTAGACCATTAACCTTTCAGTTAGTAGCCAGCACTTAACTATTTGTATACCTCAAGGACTTGCAGCTAGATACCTGCTAGTTTTCATTTATATGGTCTGCAGGCTGTAGACGTTGCACTGTTATGGTTTGGGTCTACCAGCAGCTCCTTGGGAGAAAGAAGAAAAGGAAAAATCGTCTCTGTATGATTTATAGCCTCCAAAACCTGTAGGAGCGTCGGCTATGAGTGGCTCTGACTCAATGGCAATGAGTTTTAAGTTACTGTGGGCTGGATAATTGATTATTTTAATTGTTATGTATGCTCCTTACTCATTAATCCTCTTATTGGCTATGATCAATTAATAGTCAACTTTTTATTCCTAGAACATATCACGATATCTGTCACATAGTACGTGCTCAACACATTTCTCTTAAATGGATGAATAAATAAAGACAGTGGACCATTCAGTTTGAGATATCCAATTTGGCTCAGTGTTCTATGTAAAGAAACAGTCAAGGAATTCCTTTTACTTAACTTTTTCCCCCCAAGAATACAAGAGGATGTGAAAGATCGAGATCATTGAGAATAGTAGTTATATGTTTGTTGAGGAAAATATTTCTCAAAATGAAGACAATATAGAAAACTCTAATCTAGAAAGAGAAGACTATGTACTGTAATTATCTTGTGGCAAACAGCACTGTCCTAGGTGCTGGAGTATAAACAAGCAATCTTAATGTTGAAAAGGAAAAAAAAATAGTAAAGGTTCAAGGCACAAAAATATAAAGCACATGTAAAAACCTTATCCTCACACAATTATTTGTCCAATTATCAGGTATCTAAATCCATCACATGTAAAAATTAAAAGGGAAAATTAGTCCAAATTGGGTGGCTACCAAGAAAATGAATTGCTTATATTGTAAAAATGGAAACCCACTATTCTAAAGTAAGTACATTGTTTCTAAGGAGAAATCAGTAATAGAAAGCACTATGATGTCACTAGTGGAAACTATCTGTTCCTAGAATGCTATTAGTTTTTCATTGTTAACTTCCTAGACTTGCTAATATGCTAGATATCTAGGGTTAGTATTTTTTAATTGTTGTTGTTATTAGGCACCATTGTGCTGACTACAGTTCACAGTGACTCTATGAAGAGCAGACTGGCACCCTGTCCTGTCCTACACCATCCTCCTGATCTCTAACATACGCTAGCGCATTGCTCCAGTCACTCTATCAGTCTATCTCGTCTATGATCTTCCTCTCTTTCGATGACCCTTCACCTTTCCCAGCATGGTGCCCTTTCCAAGGACTGACCTTCCCTGATTATATGTCTGATGAAGTGTCATTATCCCTGGTTATATGTCCTCCCGGACATGCTTGTTTGTTCTTTCAAAGTAGTCCATGGACTGTTCAGTATTTTGTATCAAGAGATAAAATAAGATCTTCTATAAGTTGAGGTTTTTAGGAGTGATTGTATTTGAAGTTACTAGAATAAGCCCTTCCCTATAAAGGAAGTAAACCTTGATCCTTATAAATACTCTTCAATAATGTATTTGAGGCGATTCTAATGTTATAAAGAGAGTATTCCTATGGTAGCTAGATATGTCATGCCCTACAGGTCTATTTTATGTATCTTTCTTATTTAGTAACAAATGCAGGGCTGAATGAACCTCTGAAATTATTGCCCTGAGGGAGTCTTCCCTTGAAGTCCTCTTAAAACCAAATTACAGTTTTAACTAGTAAGAATATCTGTCTTGAACTTTATGACCTTTTAAGAACCATCTACTTAGGATCAAAAATAACAACAGCAACTCTGAAGGTTAGATAGGAACCTTAGGGGCTGTGAGTTATTTTAATGGAGGAGGAACAACTGCAAAGGAGAATTCTTGCACAACTTCAAGAATGCAATCAGTGTTGCTAAATGGCATGCATAGAAGCTGTTGATTTTGCTGGTATGTTCTCAACAATGACACTGTGGTAAAATTAAAAAACAAAACCACACAGTCCAGGCCCCAAACCAAGCTGATAACTGGGTTTCTCATTTCACTGGTCTCTATCCTTGAATGGTTTTTCTACAACTCTCATTTCAAAGAGAAAGGCCAGGGCTCAGGGTGTTCTGAGCAGGTCTTGGATGTCAAGTGCCAGGAATGCTTTCTACATCATAAAAATGATCATGACTGTGACACAAGAGCGATGAATAAAGAGTTTAATTCTGGTAAACAAAACAAAACAAAAAACAAAAAACACAAAACCAAATGCAACCCTTCTACAGAGAACACTCCATCTCGTTTCTAAGGCATAGTTAACACAGTGGTAAAGAACTCTGTGTAACTGCAGCAGGTTTCTTAGCTTCTTTAGACCTTGGTTACTCTGTAAGAAAAAGATAATCCTTTGGGCATGTGTTTAGAAGGGGCCATTCCTTGGAAAGGGATATCATGCTTGAAAAGGGAGCACCAGTGAAAACGAGGAAGACCCTCAAAAGATGGATTGATGCAGTGACTGCAGCTCTGTGGGCTTCCACATGTCAGAGGTGATCAGAAAGGCACAGGATAGACCTGGGTTCTGATGTGTTGTTCACAGGGTCATTATGAGTTGGACTTGACAGCACATAAAACCACACAACAACATGAAATACTTGGAGTTTTAGGAAATAGGCTTGACTGCTAACCAGAAAGCTGGCAGTTTCTCAGAGACACCTCAGAAGAAAGGCCTGGACATGTACATCTGAAAGATCAGCTATGAAAGCCCCACAAGTAGAGCTCAGTTCTACTTTGGTACCTATGGGGTTACCCTGCTTTGGGGTGTTCTCTGTAGAAACCAATGTTTTTGTTTTGTTTTGTGTTAGTGGCATGTAGTAAGTATGTTTTTCTTCTGTGTGTGATTTAATTTAATCTTTGAAATAGTCACACTGATACCATTATTATCTTCAGTTCATCACCGAGGAAACTCAGGCTAGATATACTAGATAATTTAAGGTCTCACAGCTAGTAAGTGGCTGAGCCAGAATTCAGACTCAGACAGATTGATGTTAGAGTTTGCACTCTTGATCACTGTGACACTCCTGTGGGGTGCTATTAGTACTCGCCCCCATCAGTGTACGTGGGAGGAGGAAGTAAGACAATCCATGCGTGCACTCAGGGCTGGGTGTGGATGACGTGTAGGATGCATTCAGTAAACATTAGAAGTCCAGTAAAAAAGAGGAAACCCCTCAATGGGATGGGCTGATGATGACCTCAAGCACAGCATTCATTGTGAGGGTGGCACAGGCGAGAGGCGGTGTTTTGTCCTGTAGTACATACAGCCAACTTGGTGGTTCTTAATAGCAGTAACATCAGTCATTGTGATTCTTCTTCTTCTTCTGTTAAATTCTAACTTCCTTTTCCTCTTGAGAAATCCAGATGTTAAAATTGGTATAGGCAAGTGCTTCAGAGAAAATCTGAATCTAACTTAATTGTGTATATCATTTGTTTCACAACAGACTGCTTGTGTTGATACTCAAATGTGTCTGAAAACTCAACTATTGGTCTTCCTACTTTGTTTTGGATTTTATTTTGTTTACTTTGTGATTTTTTAAAAAATTACCTTCTTTATGTCTACCATTCCTGAAATCAATAGTGAAAAATGTATTTCTGAGCTCTCTCTTTCCTGAGATAGTGCTGTGTGGCCCCTTCCCCCAGTTTATAACGTATGCAATTACTTCTTAAGAAGCCCTGGTGGTATAGTGGCTTAAGCACAGGAATGCTAACTGAAAGGTTAGTGGTTCAAATCTACTAGGCCACTCCATGGAAGAAAGATAGGGCCGTCTACCCCCTTGAAGATTTACTCCTTCAGAAACCACAGGAGGCAGTCCTGCTTTGTTCTGTTGTGTCTCTATGAGTCAGAATTGACTTGAAGAAAGTGGGGTTTTGGTATAGAGATTTGGTATATTTAAAAAATATTCTTTTTTCCCTTTTAAGACATCATGACTCAAGAGATGACCACAGCTGTTCAAGAAACAGATGCTACTTTACCACTGGTGACACAAGAACAGGTTTCTACACTTGAGGCTGCCAGAGCAGCTGGTGAGACCACAGAAGGAGAAGAGTCTCCCTCACCCATATCTGATGCTCCTGGTGCCACCCAGCAGTCAAGACGATCGGAACCTGTGGACTCTGTGGTTTCAATCACAGATGTACCTTTATCCTTCAAAGTTGCTACTACTGTGGAAGGTTTGTAAGGAAGAAATTGGTCTTAGTGCTTTTGATGGTGGGCCTTTTCTGTGAGCTGACAAGAGAATGAGGCAGATGGCTCTGTAGGTGGTCATGGTGCACACACACCCGGAGCAGATGGGATAGGGTGGGGGCAGTGTTTTTTGTTTGAAGCTATGGGTCATAGCCCAACAGGACTAGAGGTATTTCCCAAATGAATACTCCTGTGTGGTTGACGCCTGGGTTTTGTGCAACCAGACCTGACAATGCTCTCCTCATCTGGACCTCTGACTGCTAGGAGTCTGAGGTGAGGTGAAAATAGGAAGGATCCGGCTTGAATCCCAACTTGACTCATTCCAGGAATGACAAGTTTCTTCATTTCTCTAAGCTTTATTTGTTCCTTACCAAATAACACCTAACTAACACCTGTTATGCATCAGAGAGTTGGACAATGACTAGGGAAGATAGAAGGAGAATTGACGCCTTTGAGCTGTTGGTGCTGGAGAAGAGTATTGAATGTACCATGGACTGCCAAGAAAACAAACAGATTCATCCTAGAGAGGGTTAAACCAGACTACTCCTTGGAGGCAAGGATTCTGACATACTTTGAACATGTTGTAAGGAGAGACAGGTCTTTAGAGAGAGACATCATGCTGGGTAGAGTAGAGGGACAGCACAGGAGGGGAAGACCCTCTATGAGGTGGATTGATTCAGTGACTGGGGTAATCGGGATGGGTGTGACAGAGGCAATGAGATTGGCACAGGATAGAGCACGGTTTAGGGCTGTTGTACATAGGGTCGCTATGAGTCGCAAACGACTCAACGGCACATAGCAACAACAACAACAACAACACCTGTTATAGAGGCTATTTTAAGGATTTGAAATGCTGTATACAGAATACTTTTTATTATAGGAGGCCATCAGAAACTCTGGTTTTTTAAAAGAAGGGATATTTTCAATCTGGATTGGATGATCGTTAGAAACACTTGGATATTTAAAAATATTTAATTAGTAAGTTTTCATTATTTGTGGTAGTTATGTTCTATAGAGGGAGCTCTGATGGTCTAGTGATAAGGAGATATGCTGTGGACCTGAAGGCATGTGGTCAAATCCATCAGCTGCTCCAAGGAAGAAAGATGAGCAGTCTCCTCCTGTGTAGTTTTCTGCCTCTGAAAAGCTGCTGGAAGGTTAGCTATGGGTTGTTTTCCAGTCAATGGTACATAACAAGAACAATATGCTCTATAAAGGGAGTTCTGGTGGCTTAGTCTATAGGGAGTTGCTCTGCTAACTTAAAGGTGAGTGGTTCGACTCCATCAGCTACTAGTAGGGAGAAAGATGGTCAGTCTTTTGTGTAATCTGTAGCCTCTGAATACCTGTTGGGGAGTCAGTACTGTGTCAGTTGCAACTTGATAGCAGTGAGGTGTTCTGTAAAGAGACCCTGTGAACCCTGAGTTAGAGATTCCTCATCCAGCCTTGTTTGATTTCAGCTGGGACTGTATGCCATTTTTCACCAGTCTGCGCATATGCATGTCTGAAGTAGAGCGACCGTGCCACAAGCATTGATTTTGAGGTTATATATAAATTTTAGCAAGTAGGTGAATTTGAAAATATGGAATCCAAGTTGCTGTGTATTATCTAGTTGGAGCTGAGCCATAGCTGACCCTCTGTAGATTTTCAAAGGTGATGAATCACATAGGAAGAGATTGCTCTTCTCCGAAGGAGCAGATGGTGGATTCACACCACGTACCTTTGAATTGGCAACACAATTCCTTACCACCAAGTCACCAGACCTCCCTATGGAATGGTGAGGAATGGCTGTGTGATTATTTTTGCACCTCCTGTCTGTGTCTCACTAATCCAGTTGTAGCTCACTTGTAAATATTTACTACATTTTCAAAATAATGTAATAAATACTTTGCAATTCTTCCTCCTCCTCACAATGACTGGTGCCTTGTCAATAACCTACATGCAGCCACATGACCCTTCACATCTCATCCTTCCTCCCTGATAACCATTGCCCTGAATCTTGTACTCATCATTTCCTTGAATTTCTTTTAGGTTTATTACATCTATACTTGTTAAAAGCTTGCACTTTAAATTATGTTAGCTGGGTTAACTTATAAAAAGAACACTATAGCCATTTTGGAACTTATTTTCTTACCGTGTTTTTATTTTTTTGTTCTGCTAAGATTAATAGCAGATTGTTTATAAGAAGTCTTAGGTCAATGAAGTCCTGAATGCTTAACCAGCTGTATAAAGTTCCTTAATTTCTAACATTAATGACTCCATCTGTAGCTCAGTTCTGTAATCTCTCTATGGCCTGTGGGTTTGGTGATTTGTTATAAGGTCCTCCAGAGACTCAGACTCATCAGGGCAATGACTCATGTGACTCTAGGTATGCAAGCTAATTTTTTTTGTTGTTGTTGTAGAATCTGGTGAGCAATGGGCCTTAGTTCACCATATATGATTTCTCAGTCCAGACAACTTCATATTCTCTAGCAGGCTTGGTCTAAGTTAACCAGTTGCAGTGCTGCTCCTGTGCTAGTATTTTCACACACCCCGTAGTGTGGAGAGTGCTTTCTTATATCGATCTACAGCTGTTGATAATTTGCAATACTGTGTGTCCACAGTTAAGTTAGCTGGAGATTATTCCCCCAGTTAGAGCTAGGAAAGCCAATTATCAAGGTCTCTGACACCACACTAAGATATATTTGACTTCTGTATAATAATCCACTGTTGTTGTTATTGTTATATTAGGAAAATATATTGCAATTTATTCATTCACTTTTCATTTACTGTCCTGCTCATTTACTTTAAATTCATTTCTAGGTTTGGCTACAGTGAGTATTACTGTCATACATAATCTTTTTTTTTTTGAAGGTAAAATTATAATGTTAGATTTTTAGAAAGTTACATTGCAAAGGGAGTGGCATCCCATATGAAAGAAAAAGGATGAGAGGCTTCATATTCTTTTATTTGTTAATCATTGTAGGCATACAAGCGTTTCTCTTAGGTATATATACATCTTGAAGTAGACTCATGCTTGACTTCACCTAAAAATGCCCAACTGCTTTCCAAAGTGGTTGCTGCATTTCATACTCCCACCAGTAATATATGCAAGAAAGACTCTGTTGATACATATTCTTGGAAGCTTTTAAATATAAATTTTCATAGACTCAGCAGTGGAGATTCTTACTGAGTAAATTGGAGTATGTGGAAATATGAGAATCTATTGTTTTTTAAAAATTCTATAATTAAGTCCAGATTTGTAAACTACAACCATGTAAGAGATTGTCAACCTGAGAGTACCTGGGGCTAAATTGAGCTGCTTTAAAACTGAACACATTTCAAACCAAAATCAGGCTCTTACTCTCTATCTTGATTTTTAGAAAGATAACTTCATTTTTTAAAATAGTCTTTGGCATATATTTTAAGGAATTTTTGTTAAATTTGTTGCTTTTGATAATAAAGGACAGAAAATATTCTAAAATCTATCATATTACTCAGATGAATGAGAGACAGATTGATAAAATAATCTTGATTTGAGTCAATATAATTTTTTGGAAGGGAACATTTTTAGCTTGATTCATGTAGTTTTTGGTGCCAGGAGCTGGTCTAGGTGCCAGAATTACTATATAGAAGGTATTATTTAATGAATAATTTGTTTAAACAATGAAAAGACAGTTTGCATTTCCCATAATGATGCTTTTGTAGGTCAAGTCGTGTCTTTTTCTTGGCAGAACTAATGAACACAGTGACAGAACCAAGTGAGGAGTTGTTCACTTCAATTTTGGGCTCTCCAGTGTCCTCCCCTGGAATAACGGAGGAGGTGACCAGTGTTCCAGTGGTACTTCCTGCCTCTGATACCTCCTCTGAGAGAAGAACTGTTGTTCCATCCATAAATCGAGTTAATACAATGGCTACATATGGCCTGGATCAACTTGAATCTGAAGGTATTCATGGTTTTAAAAAAATTATTTTAATTTTATTATACTAGTTTATTTTAAAAATTTGAATACATTATTTTCCAGACCAGATTTTTCTAATTTCTTTCACTCTTTACCCATAAAATTATAAACCTTTCTATTACCATTGTTTTATGTATTTTGTTGGTCTATCATTTGGTGTATAAATGTTAACAAAGATTATGTCTTCTTGATCTATTATGTTTTTGATCCGTATGTATGTCCTTCCTTTTATTTTATGGTGGTTTTCATCGTAAAGTCTATTTTATCAGATATTAGCATTGTCATTCTTGGCTCTCTCTCTCTCTTTTGTTTTTGGATACTATCATCTTGGTGTTTTTCCCCAGTCTTTTCTTTGGAGTCTGTATTTGTTTCCTTTCCTTAGATGTGTCTTTTGTAGGCAGCA